CCTTATCTTTAAATGATTTTATATGTCAATAAGCTTATTGAATTATAATAATCTGATTTGGTATATTTACTGTTTTATGAGGAACAGATGTTTTTGAAGAAAGAAGAATTTGTATATTTACCAATTTAATCACAAGCGATTAATTGTTGTCAGTGTAGGTTTTTAAAGTGTGAAATATTACCACATTCTAACCTTGGTGAAACCGACGGAATGTTGTTGTACTTTCAGTTTTAAATCAAATTATTAAGATAAATTGATTGTAAGACGTTGGTAAATTGATTGTAAACTGCTGGGAAATTGGGCATGAGCTAAAGGCAGACAAGAATAGTTTAATTTTACATCAATTTGTAAATAAATTAATTTTCATTAAATGTCAGGCGTGTACTGCACCAGCAGACAATAAGAAGATCAAACTAAAAATCACACTCGCTGTTTAAAATTATTTGATATTTTATTTAGCGTTTTTTTATAGTTATTTTTATATTTGTAAAAGTTGAGATATTTTAAATCACGTATTGACATATTTAGTTTGGATATTTAGGTGATGATTAGAATTGCAGTCATCCAATGATTATATGTCTCCTTCCTGCTTTAAAGCTTCCGTTATCAGCTTAAAGTGCATCTGTAAATAAGGGGAATTGTCCGGATATCGTAAAGATTTGTAAAATTGTACGGTTGTAACGTGGATTTTCAATAGGCATTTATGACGTTTATATCATCAATATAATACGGGGAAGTCAAAGTCCTTTGGCTTGCCCGGCTATAGACTACACGTGTATATTTAAAAGAAAATCAAATAAAAAAAAATATATAGAATTCTATACCTATCAATGAAATTTTCAGTGTCAGTTCTAGTTAGGCGCCGCCATTTACAATGTAACTCAATGATAAAAGACGGTGTATTCCGATAACGGAACAAATCTCAACTTTTCGGATAAATAATAAACGTCGAGTGTTCCGAGTGAAAACGGAAGTGGTGCATGAAATACCGAATGACACTTTTAAAACGGAAAAAATGAAAGGAATTTTTAACGACTTCCCCGTTCATAGGCTTTGCCTAATTTCATATTACTTATATCACCAATATAATACTGCTCACTGCTGTGAGAAATTGAAATTTTGCGAATTAACTTTATATGATAACGTAGTGAATATGCACTGTAGTGTAGAATAATATATAGTGCACGGCATTGTTCAAACTCATCACAGTGATTACCTCCCTTGGCATAATTGTACAGACGTCACGTGATGATTAACGTTACATAGAAAATCTAACGTCATTTTTCTCTTTCTGTTTCATTTTTAACTTTACGTACGTTCGTTACAGCTTATCAAAAATTTATCAAAAGTATACAAAATAATGAAAGATAAATTCAAAAGCTAAAAAAAAAAGTCAAAATATTGATAAAAAATGTTTGTGGTGGAGATCACTGTGTAGTTACGTTCTGCTGTGCAATAGTATAATTGTACTAAATGATGTAGTCTACTTTTATCATAAAAGTTTAACCAGTATTTGTTAAGGGTTTAATCTAAAATATTATACTTATTTCGTATGCTAGATTTCATAAATGTTTAATTCTGAACACGTAAATAAACATGCATTTAATTAAATTCTCAATTGAAAAATGTTCTATTTTAAGATAAGCCTCCGAAAAAGATCAAATAAACTATATGTGTTACGTGAAACTATTTACTTGTAGTGGAACTTGATGGGTAATGGTAGCGAGTTATAATTAATTTGGCATGCTGGGAAATTTTAGCTCCATGCTGTCATCGGAATTTTAGCTGTTCATGAAATTAAAATTTGTGTAAAGATTACGTCGCTGTGCACTATTGTCACACAATAATCTGCTGTATATTACTAAATTCCCAGACAGAAAAAAATTTAGAAGATTTTAGATTTATGAGGTTTGGATAATTCAAGCAACGTGATATAACGGTACAACGTGTTTTCCTTTTTATACAGTTCGTCCATAGAAAAGACGATTAATTAATTAATTAATTAATTAATTCTTTTCTTGCCAAAGTATAAATTTCATATTGCAAACATTCAGGTATACAAATGCCTACCGACATTTGTGTTGTTTTAAAAATAATTTTGTTGTTGTTGTTGTTGTCGTCGTTGTTGTTGGATTTTACGCATGGAGAAATGGCGACTTTTCAGGTTTACTGGTGAAGGAAGACCTCGGGAACCAGAATAGAACCAACAACGGTCCGTAAGCTTGCTGAAATAGCATCCCCACGTGAAAAAAATCCAAAAGTCCTGGCGGGATTCGAACAACGATAAGGGACCAATGGTTTGAAGTATATGACCATAAGCACATGGCCGCCGAAGGCCCCGTTTGTGTTCCTTGCAAAGATACTTTGTGGTACATCGTGATTTAATGTAACGAAATCCAAACATATTAACATACTTTAAAATTAAAATTAAATAAATCAAAATAAGACTCGTATGCTCTGCTGTATCTATCAAATGTTAAAATCAAAGTCAGTAGCCGAGAAGTTCACGGGTGTTGGTGCATTCAAACAGGCTTTGAATTTGTTCATGATATCGAAACATCATTTAAAATACCTCATGGCGATCATTCTCAGATATTGTGGTATTTATTAAATATTTTGCTAGTTTGGCCAACTTCACCACTTTCCGGGTAAAGCGACAAGTTGTGTAGATTTTCAGTTGCTCCGCGTTACCAGGACGCTTATAACTTCTTAATATAAGAAAAATGGCGGGGTTTACCTAATTATTTTACCTCGAACATAATTGTATAAGTATATCCCCGTTTCCTATAAAATTTGTTTTACAAGCAGAGACGGGATTCTGAAATAATTAACTTTTCTCTGTGAAGTGAAATTTATTCATAGGCACAATTAGATTTCTATGATTTTTATTTCCGCAAATAGTTTTGATGGTACAGTAAATAATTAAATATTTAATAAATTTGCTGAATGCAGTTAATTTTGTATTAATAACAAACTTCTCCTTAATTAAATATGCGTAAACCTACTTTTTTAAACAGACATTTGGAAGTACACTTTGTGTTCAAAGAATAAAACATTTCTTTATTGTTAGATACAAATAGTGTCCCAGATATCTTAAATTATTCAAAACGTATATACGTTTTCCTTCTAAAATTGAAGGAAGGAAGGAATGAACGAACAAAGTAAAGCGCTGTATGAGCTCGGATACTCCAGTGTAGAGCTCTGCCGACAAGAACATACTTATGGTAATATTTAATTATCTTTTAAATCAATATACAAATTAATTTATTAATTTAAAAGATAATTAATCAATTAATTAAAATATAAATAGAAACAATAGTACAATTACATTTCAGATAATATTGACAAATGTTTTTCAATATTTAACTTTAACTTATTTCTCTCCTATAAAACCTAACATCACACACTCAATCCACAGCCAATAAAAACAAAAGATAAAAAATAAGTCTTTACAATTATAGAGGTAAAATAATAACATCTAAATATTCAGAAAACAAGTAAAATATATCATTCAGAAACTAAATTTAAAACAGTTAAGCATTGTAGAATGAACTACGAAATTTTTTTTCTGTTGATTACTGTACAGATATCAGGAAAGCACGCGCATAAACACTTAAAATAATTAACCTTACTCAGCACAAAATTAAAGTTCTTTTGGAATCATGATTACACGTTTAATTACGAATTGCTACTTTAAAAGCAATTTAAATTTAATTTAGTAATTGCTTACCTAAAATAAACTTGTTGATGGTGTAATAACTAACCAATTTTTTTTGTATTAAAATGCCAATTACAAAATTGAATAAGAAATGACTTCATGTCTATCTCTGAAATTTCTTGCCAAAAATGTAACTAATGAGAAAGTTTTTGTGTTGGCAATGGTAAAGTAGATACAATCAATCGGAACACCTTGGCTATTATTCATAATAACCTCGGACTTAGTCGAAAGTAGGTATCAGGTGCCGTGTGGCAGCTGTAAAAAGTAGCTCCGTACTTCACTTCAGTGTTGTTATATTTTTCTGGTCCTTCGGTATCATTAATTAGTGTTGAAAATTGAGTACCGCTCAAGCCGGTGCTAAAGAGAGCACTTTTTCATTTTCCCTCATGTTCTGACTCAATCAAACCGAGTCTGCCATTTTCAGGTAATTTTGTTGTGACTAGAGTGCTACAGAGGCAGATTTTAATACGGATTAAAAGTAGTTCTACCACGTGGTTTTAACAGAGAATTCAATCTTTGATAATGTATAACAAATGTATATATTTGACGTCCAAACAATTTCTATCTCGATAAAATTATGATTGAGAATATATTGACAACTATAATCAATTTAAAAATGCCTAATGATGTACAACTGGAAACAAATCCGAATGAATGTCAACAGATAGACATTTTACTTGCTGTTTCTACAAACATAAAAATATGTTTATAAATAATATATTGTTTCCTTTATATCTTTAAATTTACTTAATTTAGCTTGACTTTTACTCGATATATCGGAATAAAATTAGTCAGCATCTGCTGCATTTAATTACAATTTGTTTACAGCGAAGGTGAGACCGAAATACCGTATCCGTTCTGAATTCTTACTATTGTGTTCGTGGTTCTTATCCGAAGTTTGACGGAAAGGGTCGAGAACATGCGAGTACAGATACAATATCATCATTCAGTCGGAAATTCACGAACTGATAACATATATTATATTTATTTAATATAATATTGTTGGGTCACAATGTAACTTTATATTATTTGTCAGGTCAATAGATTGCAAACGGAGGTTCATTTACTTGTTGGTTCCTTTTTTTATATTACATGGCCTTTAGTTTATTATGTTGTTAAGGCTGTTAGTAAACGAAACACCATCGATATTTCGAAAGTTTAATTTCAATAAAACATTGTTGTTTGTTCTAGAAATTGTTGGCCCGAAAATAAGTCTTCTCTGTTAATTGAGTGATGTGTAATTGTATAATTAAAATTGTTAAAATTATCTTGTATTTTTCAGCAAAGGCACGAAGGGCACCATAACTACCGAAACATTCCGAATCAGAGATGGGATATTTGGAGCGAATGGTCGGCTTGTTCCGTAGATTGCGGCACAGGAATTAATACACGGTCACGTGACTGCCGATCTACTTTAACTGGGTACGCAGATGAAAATTAACAGCACTATGTAAAACAGTAAAACAAAAAATAGAAAACCAATGTTAAATCCAAGATAATTTCTTGAGATTCAATTTTTATCATGAATAAAAAGTAGACTTGAGAAAGTTAGTAGTGTGTTAAACGAGCCATTTTTGCAATTAGGGTACACAAAAATATAAAAATTGTACTGCTACAAGGTTAAATGCTGACAATCTATCATTTATTATGAATGACAAATGGTTGTATACTTTTGTTTATTTTTGTTTCTTTGAGTTCGAAAATAGCGATGTTGACGTTAATGAGGTTTTGTCAATCACCGACTGAAGAAATAGTGCCAAGTTTTCACGATGTGTAACGAATTTCTAGAGGGCGCATGTTCAGTTTCCTATAATTACATGGTTACAACATTCATATTATTGTTGATTTTATGTTAAAGAAGTAGTTAAAAAGGGACTATTTTGAAATTACTATTCGTCATAGACGTTAAGTATATTCGTGAAATCTTCCCAATCACAAAAAAAAATTAATCAAAAGCAACAAGAAAAAAAATAACATCCCACCTATACTCTCCCTATCCCTACCCCTCCCCCACCCCCAAACAAATTCAACGGTATGGTAGGGGCGGAAGCATTTAAACGAAATAACATTGCCGTTTCCTCCCTTTTCCACCGAAAAGTTCAAGTCATATTGTATAACGGGTATATAAACAAGTCTAAATTCTGTTCTCGGAAGAAAGATTCAAATTAAAATAAATGGGCTTCCAAGTATCTAATTGTAATCGCAATACATGGTATACACAAAGGATTATATATGCTCGCAAGACAGGATACACTGATTTCGCTGATCTACTGTGGTACATACAAATAAGAGATTAGAGATTACATATGTTAGCTTTCATGTATAACATCGATTCATCGCCGCATTATTTTAATTTATTTTTTGTCTTTCTTTTCAGAACATTTTCTAACGCCTGTATAGGTAAAGGTGAAGAAATAAAGATATGCGAAATAACGGTAAATGTTTTATTCAGTTTTATGTGAAACTAGTGTTATATGTAACTCATTAAATAAATCTTTATCATACGAATGTAGGACTCACACGGGGATATGTATATTTCCATCTACCTAAGCACTATGTGATGTTAACAATCATCCAAACAATGTCTCATATCATGACTTTAAATAATTACATCACGAATCATACCATCACAGAACTTAGATCGATGAAAGAGTTCGTGCAAACAAATTTGCTTAAAGGCACAGTATATCTCTGAAACAAATATATTTTCCCTTCATCGGAAAGGGCAAACATAAGTTTCATAGTGTGTTAACAATTGTTTTAGAGCATATAAGAAGCTTATCACCTGAAGAGAGTGGAGCTTAATGTGAAGTTATTTGTTATGAAAAGAAGCAAATACAAAAGAACTAGTAATTTAACTTCCATACAAAATACTAAACCATGATACCTCTATTAACGCCAAAAAGCAACAGAAGCAATATATATGTATATTACCAATGAGAAACTTTTTCGAAACTATGACAAGCCATCAAAAATAAAATGAAACTATGAAAAGCCATCAAAAATAAAATGAAGCTATGAAAAGCCATCAAAAATAAAATGAAGCTATGAAAAGCCATCAAAAATAAAATGAAACTATGAAAAGCCATCAAAAATAAAATGAAACTATGAAAAGCCATCAATAATAAAATGAAACTATGACAAGCCATCAATAATAAAATGATTTTGAGATATATAGATAAAAGCATTTCTGAGGCATATGGGCATTTAATATACGGGAAGTAAATTGTTTAATACTACGTATGCTACATTAACAATTTCTGCTGCAATTCTATAAAACATGTTATCATAAAATTGTTTAGATATGAGATTCAGACTTCAGAGTAGAGATGGCATGTCGAGATTTGCCATGTATTCTTAAGAACATTTTCAAGTGTAAATTATCTTTATTACATGTTTTGTTGCATGTTATACAACAGGGTTGCTAAGCTTTATTATCAAGGAAGAAATAAAAGAATCATGTTTGTCTCGCCGTGAGAGTGAGATTTCTGTGATTGATATGTTGTTATTATACTATCTATTATATCTAGACATATGTCGACGAATTGTTTTTTCTTTCCTTCTTATCTTTAAAAAATCAATGTCATTTTTTTCCGGTAGGGGAATTTTCAACGTAAAAAAATCACATGCAATTTTAGATCAACTTGCTTCGAATGACACATTTTTTCTTTATTATGAAACCACCACGAACTGTTATAAAAATACGATTATGTAGTGTAACATGACTGATTACACAACTGTGTAGCGTAATAACACAATATTTAGGCGGTGTGATATCACCATTATTGTGCAGTGTGATAACACGATAGTTAGGCAGTGTGATATCACCATTATTGTGTAGTGTGATAACACAATAGGCGGTGTGATATCACCATTATTGTGCAGTGAGATAACACAATAGTTAGGCAGTGTGATATCACAATAGTTATTAAGTGTGCAATCACCATAGTAATAAAGTGGGATATCATATTTGTCTCCGGTTTGATACGTATTATAACAATGTTCTATAAACTTTATCATTAATTGCAGGGTTGTATAAAGCAAGTTGAACACAGTTGTCGCGAATTAGAGATGCGGCTGTATGGCGGGAAAAGATACCACTGGATTCCGTACACACACCGTATGCTTTTCTTCTCAAAATCGCATGTTTAAGTCTTATATATCAATAAACGTAATGTGAATAAATTATTGTATATTCTGCTACATTTAATTTGTATAGCATGGGAAGAAATAAAATCCATATTGTACAAGTGTGTGAGACGCTATTTTATTTCTTTACGGTTGAAAATATAAAGAAGAATGTCATATTATTATATAAACTAGTCATTTAAGTAGTTTTCCACCAGATCACATTTGGGCTTTGTGATGACTAAAATCTGCAAACTCTACTCAATCCCGTACCAAAATGCTATAGAATTATAGGCTAGAATAAACTCTGCTTGTCATTTAATTATCTTCCGCAGAAATTGCGTAGGAAACATGCGCAGATTTTACATTTCAGTCTTTTTTCCAATTTAAAAATCGTGATAAAATGTAGTGATGTAAACTTGAATTAATTATATTGGAATGTTTCTGACATAAATTGCGCGCATAAATTGCAAAATAAGTCCCGCAGATAATAGAAGGCTTATCAAGCATATGCAGAGGTTTTTGCAGGGAGATTACAAAAAAAAAATAGTTCACAGCAATTAGATGTAAGTAGGCCACATAAAAAAAGTTTATTTATGCTTTTCACTCTTACTTTTTAAGTTTTCGAACAAAAATTTACATAAAAAATGAAATTGTATGGAGATATTGATGTCAGTATGCACTAAAACAATCGCAATTTCTTCGGCTCTTTCCGTCACACATTGATTATGAATAACCGCAGAAGGTTTCGACAATGCTAAAACATAATCAGGCTATTTTACTTATGACGTAATTATATCCACTCCTTCCTCTAAACATCCGATGTTTTACGGAAATAGCCGAAAACTTGCGATTGTAGACATGAAAACCGGTGTGGCCCTGGTGACTTAGCCACTAGATACACTGTCCACCGCTCTTGTCGTAAATTTTTCTTAATGTTGTTCTTTATCTTATTATTTTATTACTGCTCCATTTTCCAGCATTGAGGGAGTGTGAAATGGCTTGTCGACCAGTGGGAGCTGGATTTTATCTCGGTTTAGGAAGGAACGTTTCTGATGGATCGCCTTGTGGAGAATCTCAGAACGAGGCTTGTATCGGTGGGCAATGTAAAGTAAGTTGGTGAAATTATTTAACAAATGATTTGATAAATAAAATGTTGATTGTTTGATGGATAATCTGTATGGAAGGACAATGTAACGTTCGTGACAAGATAGTAATGTTAAGTATGTTACATTAATAGTTATGAAATGAAAATAGATAATATCAGACCAATTTCCACATTTATTTTACATTCCAAGTTACCGTCAAGGCTCAGTCATGTAAAGAGTAAAGTGTTCAAAACGTCCTTCTTAAAAGTTATTGTCTGAAAGCTGATAGGGGTGGTACAAAGAGACGGGGGCGTGTGTAGACGTGTAGGCGGGGCGTGTGTAGACGTGTTGGCGGGGGCGTGTGTAGACGTGTTGGTGGGGCGGTGTTTGACTCTAAAGCGTCTGTGCTATTAAACACTTCAAGAACGCTTATAATTGTATAAACTCAGAGTGTCAAAGTACACGGTACAACTTTCGCCTCCAAACAAGGAAGGGAAATGTGACATGCCTTCTGACGGCCAAGAACAGTCCACTCGCCGCGGACAACCTTTGTTTCATCGCTTAGATATTCTAATACTTCTTCTGAGTCTTTGATGATCTCACATATTAATTGAGCTGTATCTTATTTTTATCTAATTTAAAACGATTTTTTATTGCAGTCGATAGGTTGTGATGGTGTGGTGGAGTCAGAAACTGTGGTTGACACGTGTGGCGTGTGTGGTGGAAATGATGACACGTGCAAGCGTATACATAAATCATTTACTGACAGCGTTAAATTTGGCTACAGTACTATAGATACGATACCACGTGGTGCAGCTAATATACTGATCAAAGAAAATCGCAACTCACGAAATTATCTTGGTACAACTCATATTCATATTTTGACTGTCGTCACATCGAGTTATCCTGGAAATGAATATCATCCGGTCAATATTTTTCCAATATTCTCCAAGGGCGAGTAATCTATTTAGACTAAAGAAAACGTAATGTTCTAGTTCTCTCCCCTGGCTGCCTGGTATCATGGAAAAAGCAGAACTGAAATAATTATTTCAGTTCTCGGGTTGTTAATATGCATTATTACCCTAAGAAACATGTGTTATTTTTATATTACAGTTTTATATAACTATGACGCAAAAAAAATCTTTTTAATTTAATTTAATTTAGTTTTATCATCGCAAAGCTTTTTACTCAGAAATGCACAAAGCGAATTCAATCCGTCTGTCGGTTTTTCTCCATCGTGTCCGTTCTATAAAACCTATTCACAATGAAGGACTTTCTTCAAATTTGGGTCAGAAGTTCATCTTAACATAGCAATATGTAGAAACCATGCTGCCACTGTGTTAGCTTAAGGTCAAGGTCACCATTTACGGTCAAATGTCAGACAACTTCTCTGTAAACCCCCTTGTGCAGGACAGCAGAACGAATGCTGCAATTATATTTCTATATTTCTTGAACGAACTTCTTCAATCCAGGTTCAAAAGTTCACATTATTTAGGCGATGTGCGGAACTCTTGCTGTCGCTGCGCCGACACATTGTCATCCTTTATGGTCAAGGGTGTGGCAATTTTGACTCAATGTCAAGGTTGCCCTAGAAAGTCAAATGTCGGGCAATTTTGTGCAAACTCTTTATTATAGTTTAACTTACATATTTCCTGAATTTTTTTTCAAACCTAGCCCAATTTATCTGCTTCAAAATAATTACAAATGTACTTACAAAAAATCCTGTGTCACAGAGATGTGGGTTGGGGTATTCGTCACTTTCATGGCAGCTCTAATTCCGAAATGTTCCGAAGTTTGTCGAACATTTTATCAATGATTTTATTTTTAGCTTTGAAGGCGACGGACGGGAGCTTCCAGATTAACAGTGCATACCGATTATCACGCTTCGGTGATTACCCTGCTCTAGGTACTACTTTCACGTATGACCGACATTCTGGTCCCGACTGTCCCGACGAATGTATTCGTGCCGACGGACCAATTGATGTTTCAATTGACGTCATGGTATGTGCTTGTTTTTTTGTATTTTGAAATTAAACTGCTTAAATTTACAAAATATTAAATAATTATGATTTTAATGTAAATAAAAGAAATATATTGAAGCTTCTTTACTGTTTGCAAGCAAAATAATATTTGCACGTGTATTTGAACATATTTGATTTTTTTTTTCAAATTGTTTTAGATTCTGGCGTATGGAAGCAACGAGGGTATAGACTATTCATACAGTGTGCCCACTTATTACAGAGATTATGGTATAAAAGAGGAGGGGATAGCACCAGTTGTTTATATAGAGGGAGGTAGTAAACTTATTTACACAAACACTGTAACATCATTAATATGTAATGTCTAAATCTTTTAAGGGAAAACATATTATCCATACATGCTTACCAAATATGTTAATCAAGAAACAGTCTAAAACTTATTTGGTGTTTGCCTATTAAAAGTCTTATCTCCTGTGTTTCAAGAACAATTTCTTTTTTCAAGACAGAATCAACTGTTATTTTTTTACCAATATTGAAAGAAAACTTATTATGACATAACTTCGTCGTAAATTGTGAAAATTCGACATGTTCCGACATTTTACGTATTTAATAAGATTAGCATGTCTTACTTGTCTTTTGGGCGAGTGGTAAAGGCCACTGACTAAAATCACTTGTCCCTCGCCGCTGTAGGCTCGAACCTTGACAGGGACTTCGGATTATTTTCTGTAAGGAAGCTAGGAAGGTCTGTGTTTCAACTTAGATGCGCGTTTGTGGTTTTAATATTGTACAAAGGGACACTCATTGTCTTACTACAACAGAACAGCAAAGCAAAATTGCCGAAACATTGTCATTACAATAACCCAGCAAAAAAGACAGAAAAAAGTAAGAAAGAGAAAAGAAAGAATCACCATTCTAATTCTATGAGCGGCAACTCTTGTTGTGTTATATAGATACTTTCACAATATGAATTGTTTCCCTTTATAATAAGAACACCATAACTGGCGCCAACAGACCAATATTATCTGGCAGGGCCAAAAAACCCTTCTTTGTAGGGGCCGAATATAGGCTACTTCCCCAACCAAACTAACCTGTTTTTTTCCCCAGTTTGGTCCTTAAAATTCCCCAGTCTTTTGAAATTTCCCATAGAATTTAGAACATTTAATTAAATGATGGTGTTGAATTAAGGATTTTGACTGCCTTATTTGTATTCCCCAGTGCTTTTTGCTTTTCTATTTTGAAGAACTTGTTAAAAGTTTGTGTTAAATATAAGACCCCTTTTCCCAAAGTATGCCAAAATCACGCATATTTTCCCCAAGAAAAAGGCTGAGGCCCCTTCCCCAAAAATGGTGTTTTGGCACTGTCTGGCATGTGCTGCGGTTAGTCGAAATATCGGGGACTCGGCGAACCTGTCCATTGTATGATAAGATAATGAGGCTTGCAAGTAAAATGCAAGTAAAAGAAAAAAGAATGACATATTCAAATCGGAACATGCGTCCCTGGTGTACATGTCCATAGGGCGATAACGACGATGAGCATAATTATGTTATTCTAAAAATACATGTATACGGTCGTACATATATTATAAGAGCGATTCGAAATTATACAAGAAAATTGTTTTCGGTTTGAGATTTTAATCATGTGCTTCGTTACTAATTTTATCTATATCCTTGTATGTTAACTTATTTTAATACATGTATACTGTTTTAACATTAATGTTATTAAATTAACTTTAGTAAAATAATATATAATAAATGTATAAATATAATATGTAAACTGTTTTGATATTTATTTATCAACATAAAAAGTTTATATTGTGTAGCTTTAAATTCAATTTTCTAACACATTTATGATTTTGTTGTTTTGGTATATTTCTTTACATTTATTTCCTTTCCTTCAAAGTACATGGAATCACTATCTATTAATGTACAACTGTTAATGTATATCAATAGCGTAGTCAACAAATTGTAAAATTAAAATTTAGTTTATGAAATGTTTGTATGTTCAAACAACAAATTTTATAATATATCATATAGATCTACTTGTCTGGTATTTCGTTTAAAATGTTTGAAATTTTCATATGCGCTTCTTTCTTTAAATGGAACGAACCTCTCGAGTTCATGCCGCGCGCATTAATATGCCAAAGGTATCATCTATAAGAAATAGTCCCAAATCTTTTAGTCAACTGCAAGAGAAGAGAGATTGTTAAATCCAAAAATGTAGGAATTCGATTCAAAGTTTATCAGTTTAATATTTTCAAACAAGTAAGAGGTAAAATATTACATTCTCTTCATTTCATTTCTATACACTTCATCAACAGGAATCAATATAATGACGTGATAAAATGGTTAGAAGTATAATTATCATGTACCTACACGCTTCCTTACTGCTATGCATTGCCACTTTGCCACTTTTTCTACTATCAGGACTGGTGCTAATCCATACCTTTAAATATAACCGTTTTTGCATGGATTTGAACCCGATTATTTCCTATTTAAAATAGCTTTACTTTCCTTTTCGCGATTCATGCTCTATATGATTAACCGTGACGTCACATAATTTTACCGTGACGTCACATTGCATTACCTCAGAAAAAGAGAACGTGACAGCTTCTGATTTCACGTTTTTGTTTGTAGGTAGAATTCCAAGTGAAAAAGAAACAAGTGTCAATACGATAAACGCTGATAAAAAACGACCTATTTTCTCTTACGATTTTAAGTTTAAAAAGAACAAAAAAGAACGTGTGCATGTGGAGCATGAAGGTGTGACGTCACAAACTAACACGGTAGACAACCAGCATGATTTGGAAAACTCACGATCAGCTCTTGATACGGGACAAAACCAATATGGTAGATCTTAGTCTACTAAGTAACCTCTTTAGAAATTTGTTAAAGTGTATTACAGGGATATGAATGTATATTTAAACTTTGCATGATAACAGAAACAGTTTAGCAAACGGGGGTCATCGGTCTCGCTTTTGAGTTATCTGCCCTTGAATTTGATTTTTTTCTTATTTCAATGGTAGGAAATTCACAATAAAGGCTTTTACTTAAGGTATTTTTTGTTATGCTTTTTATACAGCAATTTTTCTTTAGAGCCATTATACAAAATTTTGAAAATAGGTAAAGTGCAGTTTATTTTTTTTTTATCTAAAACTTCGCTAATTTTCTTTAAAATGGTATATTTTTAGTCACTTTACTTATTAAAATGAAAACAAGATGGCATAATTGTTTTATGGAATGGCATGAACTTTTGTATCGTGACCAAGAATAAAAGTGTAAAATATAAACCAACAGTTGTAAAAATCAGACTTAAGTATAAGTTATCTGCCCCTGAAATAGCCTAAAAAAACAACTTAAAAACTCGAGGGCAATTAATTCACAAGCGAGATTGGTGCCCCTTAAAATTTTGCTTCAACGTTACACCATATTTTGATATCATGCAAAGTTTGAAAAAAATCAACCGAACGGTTTTCATTCTGTCTATATGAAAACTGTAGCAAACCTCTCTATTTAACGGTATCACATGTGCACGGGCGCACGAGTGCACGGGCTAGAAATAGTGAAACTTTATTTATATGTAAGTCTTTAGTTTTATCAATAACATTGTACAAAAAATCAAACATATAATCTTATAAACATGACTAGACTTTCTTATTTGACATACTCTTTATTAAGAGGAAGAAATATTTCAATTTGACACGTTACCTACTCTTTCGATTACAACAATATATATTCTACGAAATCCTTTCCCAGTTTTCAAAGAAATCACATCGAAACAGATTGTTTCATAACCACTTTCAGGAATACATACTATTGTTAAAATTGCTTAAAGTATTAGTAATTACAAATGGTTTCATTTTGAACAATGGTAACCTCAAGTGAATACATCCTCAAATTATTTACCTCATAAGTAAGTGTCTGACCATTTACGAAAGTCAATTAAGTTCACTTAAGAATGTTTGAGTATAATAATGATAATATATGCAATCATAATGCAATATTTGCAATTTAAAGATATACTATGCTCATCCTTAAGTAAAATATTTTAATCACATGATTTTTTTGAAATCTATGAAATTCTTACTGAATATGTCTAATTTGAATTAAAGCATGTTATTTCATGAACGGTATCTAACGTGAGATATCGTTCATCCGTCCATCGGTAGTTAATGATTTCCAATGATTGTCAACTTTTACTGAACCACGAAAGTTTTATGATTATTACAATAAGAGGGTTAAGGGAAAACGATGATTTACACCTTATTTGCATGTATAAAATTTCGCTAAAACTTAGTGATTATATCATTCCCGACAAAATAATAATACAAGAGTAAAAACCCTTATAATGTTTACTATAAAAACCAAATAAAATTCTTAAACATGTTAAACTTTTCTATCCTGTTTAACAGATGTTGAATCAACAACAACAACGACGACAGCGGCGACAACAACAGCGACGACAACGACAGCGGCGACTAAAACAACGGGCGACAACTCTAGTATTATAATATACGATTCAGTTGATGATACCGGAAATGAAACTGTCACCATAGTAACTGGAGATGATGACGTCATAAGTAACAGAAACGATGCTTTAGTAGGTTTAGTTATCTATTACATTTTGTATTTTTCTGAAGATGTTTTACTTTATTTTTTATTAATTGGTAATAAACGCGGGATATTTCACTTAATTATTTATTTAATATTTTACCAAGTCGAACATTATTTACTAATTTTGCTAATTATATACAAATTAATTCATTATTTAAAAAAATTGTTTTAAACATTCATAATCTTAAAAAAAAAATTTTTCTCCCTAAAATGTACATTTTTCATGGCACTATATAATATATAAATAACACCTTGTTTTGCAAGTTATAATGAACTTCAACTGAAAGCAAATGCCTTTCCTAAATGTAAGGGAGTTTAATGCTAAAATCAACTAATAATACTTGTATGGTACTTGTAGAGTTCTTGTGTGTACTTGTGTTTACTTGTATGTACTTGTGTTTACTTGTATGTACTTGTATGTACTTGTGTTTACTAGTATGTACTTGTATGTACATGTGTTTACTTGTGTGTACTTGTATGTACTTGTGTGTACTTGTATGTACTTGTGTGTACTTGTATGTACTTGTGTGTACTTGTGTGTACTTGTATGTACTTGTGTGTACTTGTGTGTACTTTGTGTCATCAGTTCAAGTCAATCCTGCTTCTCTTCTGTTTAATATTTTTACATTTTTCTAGAAAAAACAAAAAATTCCGTCCAGCGTCGGATACCCACAGTTGATAAACATGTAACATAACATAACTGATAAATGTTTATACTGATAAATGTTAATGGTTCGGCCGTGGGTATGCGACGATGAATTCCGTCATAAAATGATTTATTTTTTGTAACAATTTGCAACAACCCATGTCATGTAAATTTGGGAAATTTTGAGTATAATAGCCATAAAAAAACCTTATAAACAATCAATATTTATATAGATGGTAAGTAATAGAAACAGGTGGCAGTATATATCAGTGTTTGGACACCCCACCCCTATCTGCCCCTGGACCCCTACTACAACCCTGAAAAAAATAATTCAACACTCTAAGGCTTACTATAAGGTACCAAATACAAAACCACCGATGGAATTATATAAAAAAAAAAAAATTCCACTATCAAAATTATAGTTATAGAAAGGTGAAAAGCCTACTATATGTTCATTTGCCAAACCACGTGGAACACGGGAAATCGTCTTTTCGGCGACTGAGGCGCATTCCAAAGGCATTTTGCTGCGTCATTCATTTACATCAATAAAAAGAACTTGAATTCCAAAGCTTACTTAATTCAAGTCTAACGAATATCAATATTCTATCGATTTTTTCTATTTCACGGTATTTTTTTACTTGTCGTAGCCATTTTGGATTCTGATACCTGTGTGTTTTACGCACAATTTGGCTCGTCCAATCAGATCGCGTATTTCAACCCAGGTATCAGACTGCAAAATGGCTACGACAATTCAAAAAATACCGTGAAACAGAAAAAATCGGAATGATAGTGAACTTGAATTAGATAAGCTGTGGAATTCTAGTTCTTTTTATTGATATTAATGAATGATGCAGCGAAATCCCGCCGGAATGCGCCTCAGTCGCCGAAACGACGATTTCCCGTGTTCCACATTGTTTGGCAAATGAACATATACTAGGCTTTTCACCTTTCTATAACTATAATTTTGATAGTGGAAATTTCTTTTTCATATAATTTCATCGGTGGTTTTGTATTTGGTACCTTATAGTAAGCCTTAGAGTGTTGAATTATTTTTTTTCAGGGTTGTAATAGGGGTCCAGGGGCAGATAGGGGTGGGATGTCCAAACACTGATACTGCCACCTGTGATCGAAACACGAGGCTATATGATTTGTACGAGGGGCGTAGCCCCCGAGTATTAATCAGATTTCCCAGTGTTTTGATGTTCTTTCTCTTTTGTATCATAGGCAAAGATTAAAAACACATTCCCTTTTGTTACAATATGAAACCCCAGAAAAAAGTAACCAATGATTGAACAGGAAGGAATATTTCAATTCAATACATAACCTACTCTTACGATTACAACAATATATATTCTATGAAAAAATTTCCTAGTTTCAAAGAAATCACACCGAAACAGATTGTTTCAAAACCACTTTCAGGAAAACATATACTATTGTTAAAATTGTTTAAAGGAATTAGTATATACAAATGGTTTCATTTTGAACAATTGTAACCTCAAGTGAATACATCCTCAAATTATTTACCTCATAAGTAAGTGGATTGGCCTCATTTCTGACCATTTACGAAAGTCAATTAATTTAACTGAAGAATGTTTGAGTATAATAATCATAATATATGTAATCATAAAGATTAAATGCCATATATGTAATTTAAAGATATACTTTGCTCATCTTAATCACAGAATTTTTTTGAAATCTATGAAATTCTTACTGACTATGTAGTACAATTGGATCAAATACCAACACAAATTTAAGTATCAAAACATGTTTCGCTTTATTCTGACAGCTTCCTCAGTTGATACATAAAGGAAGTTATTTAATTATTATATTATATTTATATTTATATATTATATATTATTATTATTTTTGTTATCATTATTATTATTATTATTATTATTATTATTATTATTATATAAAAACTGTTCACATTATAAAAGTTAATCATTTTATAACAGCAAGCAACAAAATCCGGTGTAATAACAGACGACAGTGAAACAAGTGTCGCCATTGAAGACATGTATAATAATGATAACAGAATACCATCTTTGTACTCGTGGACCGTGGCGGGATACTCCACGTGCAGTAGCACGTGCGGGCAAGGTACGTTTTCGTTATGATATTTCTTACATTATTTGATTAATGATGACTTTACTCCAGGACGACGCCACAAACGACTTTCGTGTCTCCACCCTAATAAAACAAAAACAAAAAACTTAATGAGTTACGTGAGTTTCTGATGTAAGCGGTGTTTTGTTTTTTAACATCTGAAGTTGATTTATTTGATGTAAGCGGTTGATTGTTTTGATGTAAGCAGTTGATTGTTTTGATGTAAGCGGTTGATTGCTTTGATGTAAGCGATTGATTGCTTTAATGTAAGCGATTGATTGCTTTGATGTAAGCGGTTGATTGCTTTGATGTTAGAGATTGGTTGTTTTGGTGTAAGCGGTTGATTGTTTTGATGTAAGCGGTTGATTGCATTGATGTAAGCAATTGATTGCTTTGATGTAAGCGGTTGGTTGTTTTGATGTAAACGATTGATTGTTTTGATGTAAGCAGTTTCTGGTTTTGATGTAAGCGATTGATTGTTCTATTTACAGGTAAACAGTCTCCAATCCTTCAATGTCTCGTGACAGACAAGAAGGTGAAGGTCAACAACACATTCTGTAGTGGCGAAGAGAAGCCGGCGGCAGTGGTGAAGGAATGTAACTATGGTCCTTGCCCACCAAGGTCTGTCATGTCAATAGATTTATATCAAATTCCATCCTATGATATGTTGTGATAATGTAAATAAAGAAAGGCCTCAAGACAGCTCTTACCAAAATGGTATAATCAAATCTTAGTATGTCTTCGCTACTAAGAAACCCATTTCGAGAAAAAGATCAGCTCAATTAGAATAGCGACTCTTTCTTTTGATTTTTATTTCTTTTTAAAGATGGATTTTCTGAATATATCAAGAAATTTTGAGGGAAAAGTTGTTATAGGGAACAAAATGTTGACTGCATATGTATATTACAGCTGGAAACCAGGAGCGTGGAGTAAGTGCAGTGTGTCTTGTGGAACCGGGTACAAAACACGGCGGTATGTGTGCACGCGACCAAACGGTGAACAAGTTTCTGATTATGAATGCGGTTCACCTTCAGTAAGACAAGAGGAGAGATCATGTGATACCGGATCATGTACTTCCGGTTGGTATTACACGGAATGGCCGGAACATGTAAGATTTTAAATCTAATACAGAAATGTTACACCAACATTTTACAAACCCGTTTTAGGCCTCTAGCTTAATTGTCTTCTGAAAAGTTGTAAATAATTCTGTAAATACAAAATTCAAAGAATTATTTAGTTATAATTTTATATCTCCTGTACTAAGTCAAAAAATTATATAGTCGTTGACAATTCTATCATTTGCATAATAAATTCCATTCCAAACTTAAGTTTAAAAAAGGAACAGATAAGTGAAGTAGGTATATCAATTTTTTTTATGCGCAGGGTTGTGCGAAGAAACAAAAATTATCGACGAATTCATGAATATCATATAAAATTTGAGTACAATGTAAGTGGTCAGCGTCCTCCAACGGGATTTGTATAGTATGTATTTTGGTGAAAAATACAAATCAAAGTCTCATACCGGAGATTTGAAAAGTATGTATTCGGGCGAAATTTACAAATCAAATCAGCAAAATTTAGACTAATGACTCCCACCACGGAAAACTAAATATCGTACTGTAAAAAGTGTAGTTTTTGCGAATAAAAGATTTTTCGAAAATCAATGTTTCTGGAGAATCTTTAAAATTTATCTGAATTGACAGTAGAAATGTGCGCTTATTTAACCTTGCCAATTAGTCCGAAATGTTGATAGCGCGAAATGTTTCTTTACCAAAGTATCTGATTTTACGTAACCTTTCACATACGTCACTCAAACGTTTCGCATACGTTTCATATTTGTAATTGCAAATCAAATCTCATTACCCCACACCCGGTAAACTTTATAGCATTCTGTAAAAAGCGAATTTTTTTGCGAATTTAAGATGTTTCGAAAATCAATATTCGCGCTTATTTAACCTTGCCAATTAGTCCGAAATGTTGATCGAGCGAAATTTTGCCCTTGTTAAAGTCATTATTTTACGTAACCTTTCACATACGTTACTCATATCTTTCATATAGGTTACTCATACGTTTTACAAACGTAACTCATACATTTCACATACATTACTCATATGTTAAACATACGTTAATCATACATTTAAAATATTACTCATTCGTTTTACATACGTTACTCATACATTTCATAAACATTACTCATAACTTTTACATATTTACACATATGTTTCACATACGTTACTCATACATTTAACAAATTTACTTTTACGTTTTACGTACGTTACTCATACAATTTACATACGTTACTCATATATTTTTTTCATACGTTACTATAATACGTTTCACATACATTACTCATATGTTTTATAAACGTAACTCATACGTTTTACATACATTTCTTATTTTCTCGTGAACGTTACCCAAACGCTGATATTTATTAAGTTGACGGTGATTAGAGATACCATACAATTTTAGTACGCTAGATATACTTTTGTTATACGTTACACACATGCGTTATTAGACAATCTTTGAAATCAATTTCCTACAATCAAACCATGTTTACTAATTAGAACATTTTATGAAAACTTTCCTTCGAAATTTATACGTTCTTCTCAAATACTATAGTGTGACATGTGCCTTTATCAGTTTCCTTTACTTTTGTCTGCAATGTTTACAAGAAATAACATCATGTCTATCATAATTATTTTTACAATCAATTAGTGTCCGGCAACATGTGCCTATGGAACAATTTCACGTCACGTGCACTGCTTCAGTGATACCGGAAATGAACTGACCGCATGCCCAGATCGGGAAAAGCCGCAGAGCGAGAAAACCTGCCGAGATGACGACTGTGGAGGATTTTGGCTCACTGGCCCATGGTCTGAGGTAACTGGCAAATTACGTTAAAAATTTTATAAGGTTTTTTTTAAGTTATAACATACATGTAACATATTGTTTGCAAACGATGAAATACGTAAAATAAAAGGTTATCTAACTTTTAAAGATTTTTGACATCAAATTATCGTACATGGATTAAATAACCTTTTAAGTCCAGCGGTTTCTTTTAAATGTACATTTGCAGTGGTGTATTATATCATAAATCATGCATAATTATATTGTTAAAATATGATTTCAAACATGTACATGTAATATTTGAAGTGATCTATGAATTAATAAAGATAAATGATATCAGATTCCAAGAACATGCTTATTTTATCACCAGTGTAATGGGACCTGTGGTATGGTATATCAAAATCGCGAGATTGCGTGCGCATCGAAAAGACATGGCGGAAGAGTCACTGTGGTGTCGGAGAGCGCATGTGTGTATGAGGAGAAACCGGCAACGTATATGTCATGTGACTTTAAGCCGTGCCAACCGGAATGGTATATGAATGAATGGAGTCAGGTTTGTTAGTTACGTATCTTGAAAAAATATAGCTAGCATGGTTTATTGTTTCAATTTTATTATGTAAAATGAAGAGAAATTATACATATTGGACAAGCATGCATAACAAATTTAAAGTATATGTATGTTCTTTCGCATTTCTGTATATATTTGTTCTTGAATATACTGAATGTAATGCTGTACATAGGTACTATAGGAACGCTGTACACAGGTACTATAGGGGCGCTGTACACAGGCACTATAGAAACACTGTACACAGATTTTGTAGAGTGATTACCATGAGCAAATATGCATTTACATATAAATATAAATATAATAAAATATCATTCATGTTGCTAGTAGAAACATCTTTATTTCTTATATTCGATCCTCACCGTCTGTTTATTCTAATAATTTCACATTGTCCAAAGCAATATTCAAATTACCTAAATAACATTTATACTTCTGCACTCAATAGCGAGACTCTATCATAGGAAATTTATTTTTCTAAACTTTAAACTATAGTTTCAGTTTGACAAAAAAAGAATAAACAATTGAATATATTTCAAAAGTCATTGATTTTTTCAGTGTTCCGCGACATGTGGATCAGGACAAAAGTCACGTGATATTCGTTGCCTAGACGACGCAATGCAGACGAGTTCTGGATGCGATCCTGCCAGTAAGCCAGCAGACCGGGAACCATGCACACAAAGACGATGTCCTCTTTCGGACGAATCCAGACCAACTGAGAAGATAGATAATCACGTGACAAATGCGCCACCACCGCCCGCTCCCGCTAAATATGGTAAATACGGTTAGCAAATATGACAAACTTCATGACTCCACTTTGGTTTATATTGAAATTATTTAAGTTCGATTATTTATGAAGCTATAAGCTAACAGACACATTTTCGAATCAGTTCCTGGAACCGACCAGTACTGAGCAATGAGCGTTTCTTGCGTAAAGAAACAACGACTTGCTCCTGACGGGGTTTGAACCCATATGCGGCTAGCGATCATTAGATTACTATTTCGACGCGTTAACCACTCGCCCACGCCGTCAGTTGATTAATTTAAAGCAAGCTTTCGTTACATAATTATTATCTGCTCATCTCCAATCTTCATTTTTGTGTAGTACTGTAAACTTTTATGTTTCATTAAAGATCATAATTATGTCTTTTTTTAGCAAATATGATTCATATCAGCCAATATGCTTTATATCCGTTTATATAGTTCATTTTAACATTGATTTGAGCCAATATAAATCAAAATCATTCAATAAGCAAATATGGTGCATATTAGCCAATATAGCTCATTTCGAAGCTTAACTAATGTGGTTGTATAAACCTTATTTAAGCCAATATGGTTCATTTAAGCCAATATAATTCATTTAATTAAGCCAATATGGTTCATTCTATATATCTTTTTGTTTCTTTTATGATTCAGTTATACCCATATGGTTCATTCCTATACATATATGGTTCATTCCTATACATATATGGTTCATTCCAGTGACAAAAGTGGGTAGCATACGAAATACAAATTTAAAAAAATATTTTCTATTTTAATCTACAGATCCAGTTATACCAGGATGTGAAGATAAATTCAAACAATGTAGTATGGTGCTCCGAGCTAACCTGTGTCAATATAAATATTATCAGAAAATATGTTGCAACACGTGCGAAAATTTGAAAAGAAATTCTTGAAAATAGACTGAAAACAGGTCCTGAAATAAAAAAGACAGTACATGAAAGTTATGAACAAAGTATTTTCAATATACGGAAATGAAACTACTGTGCCTGTTATAAAGTGCAAGTCACGTGTCTCAGTCTCAACCATTGATTGGATAAGCCTGTACAGTAGAAATGTTTTTGTTCATCTGTAAATACAAATATATATATATGCGTCTAGCAACTGTCGTCTGCCATGCACGTGGAAGTATCAATACAGAATTACATTATTACGTCACGTGACGTGTTCTGTATGCTCGGGGTGGGGGGGGGGGAAGAAATCAAACTGTTTTGAATTTTCAACCGTCGTAGATGAAAACCAATTAATGTTTTGCACTCTTAAAACTTTATTTTTGTTGGATAATCTTCTGTTTTTCTCTATGAAAAAAAAACGGATATTAAAAGTAGAAATAAACTGGGGATATAGTTGAAGTCCTTAAAATTATACTGTTTATTAAAAACAAGACAGTTAACTACTTTAGTGATAGAAGATTTTTTTTTCTTATTTCTCTCATTATTTTGTATTATATATATCGTGGATATTTGTTTGTTTATTTTGCATGTTAGATTGGCATAATTATATTTCACAATAAGAGAAAGCACCAGATTTGACCCAAGAATATATAGTATATATTAGAAGAAGTGGAAGAAGGATAGTTTTTAAGAAGCCTTAACAACATTTGTTTCTTTTTTATATCTGCAGAGTTCATCTGTTTTGGGCTTTACCCAATGCGTTACAGAAACCTCTGGGCGGTAATATAAAAATTCAAGAGTAGTTTTGCTCGTAGGAGGATAATAATATTATTCACAGCAAAATTAGGGAATTACAAGGTACTTTTTACTTGAATTGAATGTTAAACATTCTCTTCTCCGTATTTTGTGTGTCATTAAATGTTTTAAAAAAACAATCGTGTTTCTTAAGTAATATATATCAAAGGAATAAAATACCCTTCAATAATGCTCTAAAATAGTCCGATAAAAATAGTATACTTGAATTTGGGTCGGTTGTGTGCGTCACATAAGAAACAGGCCGACAAAACCCTTAATATCTTAATTATATTTATGTGTGTGCAAACGTAACCGTTGCATATTATCACATAGTTTACAGTCACGTGGTACATGTAAAGTTCCCGTTGCGAGTTTAATATATGCATATACATCCGATCATTGTAATTAAATAAACTTGTGACAGTTACAAGAATAATATGTCTAAAATATTTGCTTTTATGTAGTATGTACATAATGTTTGTTTTTTTCATTTTGGGTAAATAAAAATGTAACCATTTTTCAGAATGCTTCGTATTGTCATTTCCTTCCATAAAATATTTTTTTCTTAAATTACATTTTAAATTGGTGAGTACAACCTAACGTTTCTTTTTATTTAATATTCTTATGCTTGAAGCCTGAAAACATAACATTTGAATTTCTTACATAAATGAGCTTGGACACTTTAAACAGAAATATATGCAAAGATATTTAAGAAATATATTTTGAAAATCGTATTTTTATGCTTTTCTTAGTCTGATTTGAGTGAAAAACGTTTAAACGCTTTTCATTTTTGGTCGTTTTTTTACAATTTGAATAATTATCCTAGAAAAACGAAAATCGCGAATGATCTGGAATTTCGCAAAGAAATTAGTGGTCTAAACCTACATCAAATGGTACATTTGTCTGGAAAAAATATTTTCAGTCCCATCATGTAAAAAAAACCTCAGTGGAGTCCCTTTAAAGTTAGATACGTAAAGTCAATGTTCATTTTTTCTCTAATTTATAAAATGATGCCTTTCTCGTTACTAATCAAAGTACTGAAAGTACTGTATTAATCAGAGTGCCAAGGAATAATGGAATTGTTCGCATATACAGAAGCAACATTGGTCCAAACATCACAGGATTTATATTGTGGGCACTCAGACGTATTCAAGTAATTTATCTGTGTAAAACATCTGCAGAGGCTTTTCATTTGGTAAAAACATATTCATGTAATTCCAGACAGATACATAAAATAAAATACAACTATAAGTAAAAATGGATTCTTTAATATAGGCAGTAATCATTTATTTTACCCCAAATTCCCCCTTTAGAGATTAAGAGAATGAACTTTGAGATGTATTCGTAAATTCTCATGCTAAAAAAAGATTATTTTAATTTTCTAGATTACTTCCGTTATAGACAGTGTGGTAACTGAAGGTTTAAAATACACGCACATTCTGCATAACGTTATATCTAGCATTCGGTATACTATTTATCTTAATTACTTTTCCAATGAAAATGTATATCAGCTTTTTTGTTGTTGTTGTTGTTGTTGTTGTTTTGCATGTTGTTTTTTAGGACATATGGCGACTTACCAGCTTACTGTTGGAACAAGACCATCAGTGCCCATTCGTGTTATTTTACCGAAATACCGCATCCGTTCTGTATATTCATACTATTGTGTTCGAGGTCCTTATCCGAAGACTGACGGACGGAAAGGGCCGAGAAGTTGTGATTGATTTATTCGGATTTGGGTACAATTGTACATTGATCAGTGAGCATTTCTAAATCCGTTTTGATTGCCAGACATATGTTCATTTATAACTTTACCAAAATAAACTTTATTTTCCTTTGGATGCCAAATATAAAAACATTCGTTATACATCATCAAAGGTAATATCCATGGTTTAGGTTTACAAGAACTACATTCAAACCGTATTTACTCCGAGGTTATTATAGATAATAGCCGAGGACGTTCCGATTGGTATCACAAGTAAGAATAAACAATACGAGGGCACGGTTTGTGTTTCCTCTTCAGTTATGGACAATTTTCAAAATTATGAACATCAAAATATTGAGGTCATATGTATAAATAATATATAAGTACAATAAAACGTATTATTTTTCATACAATCGGAAGAATTCGGTTATTATTTATAATAACGCAAACTCCTCCTAGTGATTTGACTGGCTACGCTCAAATTCGTCATCGAAGCAAAGGGAGTCCACAGCGTCAGAGTTGAAGGAAAGTGTACTTAAAAAGTTGGTGAGCACAAGTAGTTTGGTTTCCGTGTTTTAAAACTTTTTAATTAATATTCAACCAAGACAGGAAGAAAGTTACTGAAAAAGTTATAATCCTGTTTATTCATAAATCATTTTTGTACATATTCAGATACATTATAGACATTTACAAACATGGACATATTTGTTTGCTGTATACTGATTATCATATTCGGATCAACGAATGGACTAACTAAGGAAGGAAAAGAAGCATTAGGTTAGTTTTTTTTTATTTCAATTGTAGTGATCACAACAGCTGTTATTTAATGTAAGTGGTTTGTAAGTTGAGTTATAAATACTTTTATACTACTGCAGCGTTATAAATGTATTTAAGGAAAATCATATATAAGGTCATATGAAATCAGCCATTTAGCCTCAAAATAAGCAATTATGCTACCAAGGAGATGTATAAACTACATGTGCATGTATAAACAGAAATTACAGAAGCTGGGAGAAATCATGTAAGATTATTGAAACATTCTTGAATCCGTTCCTGGAACCAAACAGGGGCCTTGGTTATAATTTTACTCAGATCTTAGGTCTATGATTGGTCAGAATCTGACACAGAATGTACACTGACCAATGAAAATCCTGATACTTAAGCTAGAACTCAGGAAATAGTTTTATAACCTTGAGGCCAGCACGACGAAATGAGTGTAACGTTCCTTGCTCACAGAAATAATTTTGAAAACATTCACAGACAATGTAATGTTATATTCAAAATAGTTTAGCTCTAAGCATTGTACGTTGTTTCACAAAATAAGAATTTCTCAAACAAGACTATATCAACAAAGTGAGTGACCTCAGGGGCGGGGCCAACATCGACCCAAGGGGCATGATTAAAACCTATTTTGTAGAGGCCAACAAGGCAATGCTATATGTCAAATGTCTTAACTCTAGGCCAAAATAAAACTAACAAGAAATGACCCCTTAGGACACAGGTGCCCCCACACAAGCAAACCCCAAGGTGCATAAGTACAAATTCTTGAAAAGTTTTAGACCTACAGGTCAAATATAACTAAGTCAAGGGCAATAATTAAGTATTAGAATATATATCAAGATGACAATATTCTTGCACCGTAGTAGAACAAGTCAATATGGCCGCCAAATGTGCAAAATGTTTTTGTATGATTGCACACACAATAATAGATACAGATACAAAAATAAATCACAATGTTATAACTGTGTTGTCTAGGTGTACAATAACCTAATATAACCAATAATGGAAACAACATGGATTAAAATTCCGTAAATTACTAGTGTCATTCATGTTCGGACAAATCATATGATTCGGATAACACAAACTACAATATACAATGTATTGTCCAAAGGGTCAGGATTAATGTATTTATTGCAGTTTAAGAGTTTTATATACATTTGAAGTTGTACGGTTAAAGTAGCTTTCGTTTCAGCAAAGCCAATTTGAAAATGAATACCAGTTATTTTGTGGTCTTCCGTGCCAAATGGCCATCGTATTTTCACACAATAAAGTTCAGATGTGTTTTATTAATAATATCTACATACATGTAAATCAAGTGAACCCTGGGGCGGGCCATTATTGAACCAATTTTGATATCAGGAAGCCGGAACCTGCGTTCTGCACAACGTCTCATTAAAGGTAGTATTTATGCAAGAAAATTTTTGTTTGGTTCAAACTGATACAAAATGAAAGGTCAAAACTGCACGCTGCACGTCGTCATATTATGGTTATCATAACTGCCAAGTAGTTTCCAAAGATACAGGCCGGGCACGAAAACTGCATACAGACGGACGGACGATCAGGTGCATAACATTATACCTCGAAATTTTTTCGGGCGTTTGAAACATTATTGTATCACTATTTTGCAGGAAAACTGCAGAGAAAGTTATCTGAGCATGTTAAATAGAAAAACCCTGAGGCAGACATTTTTCTGTATGAATTTTAAATATATTTCTCAGATCGATGCATAGCAGACAGAAAAACAGTGTTTGCAATGGAGGGGTCAACAGTGACCTATACAAGAAATCTAGAATACAAAACATCAAAAATTAAGTTTGGATGGTTGGATGACTTATTCGTCTATGTCTGGACATCTGACGGTTATATAGAACAATATAAAATATATAAGTCTACTACTTATAGACGAGTATTGTACAACAGAACTAATATAGATCTTCTGATACGTCATCCTGACAACAGGACTGTAGTGAGCATAGAGTTGAATGATGTGATGTTGATAGATGATCGAATGTACTTAACATTAGCAGACAAAACACTATATCCTGAAAATCCTGAATTGGAATGCTTCCACTTACATGTAATGGGTAAGTGAACAGTTTAACTATTAATTAAATATCAGCTCTAAAGAGGTAAAGCTGGAGTACAAACACATTTAAAAAACACATGTCATTAAAACACGCATTTGTTAATTATATCAAAGGGAATATGACACATATATGGAAGACAGAAAGTCATGATTGGGAAATTATACGCAGGTAAACGACACGAAAAAAATGGCACGCCGCAGCCGGGACTCGAACCACGGGTCTCTGGATTGCCGGGTCAGTATGCGAACTACTACACCACACGGCCATTGCGTTTTCTTCGTGCTTATTTATTCGATTTCCCATAAATTTTATTTAAAAAGCAGTTAAGTGTAATGACAAAAACATTACCCTATACTTTCCTCACATCCCAGTGTTGTTGAATTTTCCTGGGTCTTTAGGTATAATGATTCCAATAATTTAAATTGTTATGGATTGAAAAGCGCTTAAGCCGGTGCTCATGTGTGAACAATAGTGCTTAAGCCGGTGCTAGGGGGGTATGAACGATAGCGCTTAAGCTTGTGCTAGGGATGTGAACGATTTAATATCACCTCTCATGAACAGACTCAATAAAGCAGTGTCTTCAATTTCCAACTACTTGTTATTTGTTGTCATTACTCACCGTGTATATTCAGTAACGCAAGATTGTGCAAATAACGCAGGAATTGTGCAAAAGTAGCTAAAACAAGCACCGTGATATGAAAATTGACCAGTTTTTTTATTGTACACCAAATTGGAAGAAATGAATTAGCGCATACGGTTGCTAAGATAATAAACTCTGAACCTCATCAAAAATATTTCCAGTAAAATGTTTATTTTTCAAAATCATTCGTGAAAATGACGACCTAACTAGCGTATTGATGGCGATTTTTAGTTTCGTTGATATCTTTAAATACAATAAAGTACATATTACATTATGATTTTTTATATTCGGTGTACCTGTGACATTTTCCAATCAACTCGCGTCATTTAATACGTAATTAAGCAGATAAAACGTAATTGAGACCATTTTTACGAGGAAACGCCGAATTCGTGAATGAGGCACTAAAGCAACGGAAGTTATCTCATTTAAAGTAGCTAAATCTTATTTTCTTAGCTTCCTGCTATTGTTATACGACACTTGTAGTTTGACAAATGTCTTAGGTATACAGAATATGAAAAAAATGTTTTAAATGTGTTAAATGTACATATTCATATTTTATTTTTTTATTTTTTTTTTTTTGGGGGGGGGGGGGGGGGTAATTGTTTTTTTTGTTGTTGATTTTTTGTTGTTGTTGTTGTTGTTTTCTTTTAGAAGAACTAAAGACTAAACCAAACGGAACACTGGAGGAAAATGAGCCGTTGTACGTGTACGCACCGGATAAACCACATGTCAACGCAACAACACTATGGCTTTTAGATGGGTTAACAAGCGATCAAACTGCGCTTTTTATCCAGCAAGATGATTTTATTTGGATACCTCAAGTTAATAAACATCTTGATGGGAAGAATGTTACATTCAGAACTATACTAAACGAAACTGTCTTCGATAATAACTTTACTTTGAGTGTAAGAAGTAAGAATTCGATATGTTATATTAATTGTAATTTATGAGAAGTAAAAAGTCATAAATAAAATTTTTAATGATCAGAAATCAATTTGAATTAAAGAATGATTTAAATAAAGCGAATAGTGCTCACCCGATCTACACAAAATCCCTTGAACAACATCATTTACCCTAAAGCACCCGAACTTGTGGATTGTGGGACAAAGTTTTGTATTTAGATATATCGAAAAAGTTTAAACTATCAATAATCCAGTCGAAGTATTAAACTAAATTGTTTGCTTTTTTCAATGCATTTTATCTGCCTTGGACATATTTATTGCGCAACTGTAACTTCATCTTAGCATTAGGCACGTGGTTGTTGCTTTTTTCTTTACAGCTTTTTACGATATTTCCATAGAAACGAAGTAGCATTTCACGCATACATATTCTGCGTATGGCAAAAAAGGTTAATACGAAAGAATACAACAAATTCATTAACAATTTAATATAAACCTAAAGATTAATTTTAATGATTAACCATCAGTTTAGAATAATAGTTTATTTTGATAAATAAATGGTAGATTCAAGTAATTTACCTGAACATTTCTGCATTAATTCAGATTGTTTTAAATTTGAAAGACTCTGAATGATGCATTAGATTCCGTCATGAGATCCTTTGTATTAATTTGTATACAAGGGTAAGATTTTAACAATATTTTGCATTAAGTTTTCTGAAATGTGTCACCTTTAAAATACAATGTACTCGGAAAAGGGGTTCTATGGTCTACAAGTGCAATTTCTAAAGCACCATCTCTTTCTATTATCAGATTTAAAGAGGCTTAAATAAATGTGATTTCAAATAATGTCTACAGAAAAAAAATAGTAATTTTTGCATGACTTAAAGCGGTGGGTCCATAAAATGTGATTTGATATTTATAATAGATATAAGAAAATTTAACCAATTAAAAGCGCATACTAAAGTCTTCTGTTTAAAGTATCATTAGACGGCTATTCGATTAGTCATTTAAATTGAAACAGCAGGGTGTTTAAGATAGAATTTTGTTACTCGTGTATTTCGCAATATTACACAATTGGTACGGTGCACTTCCTTTGGTTATGTGTAAGGTGCCGGCGCATATATGGTGTCAAACAGATGAACACGTGACCGGTTGATCAAACTATAATAATCGTTATTTTATAAAAATATTAAATATACATATCTTATCAATGTTTGGAAATAATCTTATGAAGTGACAAAAAGTATGGGATTCATTAACCTACTTTTTGAAATGTGTTGATGAGATATAAATGTGTTATATTTCGCTACCCATCTCAGAAATGTTCGTAACCTCTCAAAGTTTTGTAAAATTACTGTAATGGCATTTTTTATGGCGATTTTAGCCACAAAGCTATTTTTTTACTTTAAACGTCAACTAACTCAGATTTGTACATGAACTTCTACTTCGTGATAATCTTTTGCCCTACTCAGATTGCGCATGTGCGAGAAAATACTACATCCGATCGATTTTTCATAGTAATGGACCTCTTCATACTAAGGTCTATATAAGCAGTATCTGATTTTTGCGACGGACGCGCCCTCAGGCGCGTTCAGAGCTAAGTCATCTACATGGGAATTCGTTGGCTACAATCGCGCAGTGTGTCCTAAACCGATTAACAGCCCAAGAAATAGTACATGAATTTGATCCTTCAAAACTCCCATACTTTGTCTGGATATCTTAAAATCTTCCATATTTAGCCTTTTCAATTTCAAATTAAGTTATCCAAGTTAAAATATGAACGTATATTATTGATAAAAACGTTGTAGTCCCGAAGTATTATTGCGCAATATGCAAATTACTGCCGAAACGATTTACCGCTGTCGAAAAAGTAGGACAGCAAATTATACTACATTAAAGGTGTAACCTCTGAGTTCCAAGACATTATTAGTAGGAAATAAATATTTCTTCATTATACAAAACATTATTATTAACAAATCGAAAGTTTATCAAAAGTTTTTCGTGACTCTAGGATAACTCGCGCATTAATAAAAGAAGAACTATTTTCATGACTCATACCGCGGGTTTAGCTGAATATTCAGCAGTTATTAATATCTTAGATACAGTACAATGGTTAGTATAAATATCTATTTTTGAAAATACATGTAAGAAGAGAGTTTAATTTTCAACACTTGACCGCCATGTAGTCTTTCATGGTAAGGAAGTTATAATATCAGTTCTACTTCCGAATCTTGTGGTTTGTTTACATATTTTTCTAGGTCATGATATGAGTTAACCTTCGCTATTCTAAAAATAGATTCTGCTTCACCTGTTCTGATTTTTGGACAGGCGATTAGGGAGTACACATTATACATGTAATAAACCAATACTTTTAGAAATTCTATACAATTGTAAGAAGCAAACAAGTTGAAAATGGAATTTAGTGTGAAATTGAAAAGGACAACTAAACACTGTAGTGCTTAAGTGACATTTAAATTAAAATAAAAACGATGTGCTCTGGCCTCTACATCTTTACCTTGTAAATAAAAAAAATCTAAAAAATACACTATTAATTGCTGATGATTTTAACCAAATTTTTTTTTAATGAGACATAAAAAATACAAAATGACTTATATTTTATTGTCTATATGCCCACTATGATATAACACGAAGCAATTCTAAATAGCATTCTCGAATGTATAATGCAATAATTTATGTTTGAAGTTTATTTGCCTGGTTTTATTTTAGAAATATTTCGTTAACAGTTTTTTTCTATTTACATATCATTTCTTGGAATAAATCGATAAGGACACTGATTTACAAGTTTGACCAGAGTTTTTAGGCATAAATTTCATTCTGTATTTAAGTGCTTGAAAGTAGAAAATCTGAATTATATCAGTTTGGGACACAAAATATATATTGCTCTACAAATCTCGAACTTGTATGGAACGAATTTTCTCTGTTATATATTTTGTGTTTTGTTTTTGTTTTGTTTTTTTTTCTAAAAGAAGCCTTAATGTCTCTCCGGTTGCATGTCCGTCGCATTCAGTGCTGCAGCACTTTGATTATGTTTTACTGATACTAGGTAAAAGTATAAAAAATTCATCAGTAATTTGCATAAAGATCTATTTGAGTTTGAATAGTCATTTAGTCAGATAAATCTGTCTTGCTAATTATACACATTGTAGTTCATCATGGGTTTAAAGCATTTAACTATTTTAGTAGCACAAGGTAGTTCCGGTTATACCTCATAAATACATGATACTTCTATTTTTAGCTTTGACAATACAAATATTCCCTGAAGAGCAAATTTACATTGTAACGGTGGGGGATAAACTTCCGGTGATCACGTGCTCAAGTAACTGTGCTCCAGCGTGTGTAGTGTCTTGGGGTAACCATAGTTCAAATAGACTTTTGTCACTGGGAACAGCCACGAAGGAAACCAACGGGCGATATACCTGTACAGCAATTAGACTCGATTCGAAAAGAAAGGTTGAAATAAGCGTAACTGTTCATGTTCAAGGTACTTCCGCAAATTTAAAATCCCCTGTTACCTGCTGTAATAAATTAAACATAGTATCATCATGCTTTAAAGAACTCAGCTTTTTAACACCACTACACTTGTAACTTAGGGTAATATTTCTGAAACAGTACTGTACACTTAAGATCGATATATCTTATCTGAATTATTAAAATTGATTAATTTGTAAGTCCTCAATTGAGATTTGGTAGATTTTTAGTAAACATTTTATCTCAGATCTGCTGACATTTTGCTCTGTTTTTTAAACGACTGAGGTCCGTAAACCTTAAAACATATAACATTTTAATTTCTCACCTTGATCAACTGTGACACTTAAATCAGAAATATATACAAAAGATAACTCAATAATATACTCAGAAATACATTGAAAACCGTATGCTTATGCTATTTTAGTCCGATTAGATTTAAAAGCGTTGCAACGCTTTTAAATTTTGGGTCATTATTCTAAATAAGAATAGAAACAGAGCGACTAATGATCTGAAGACCTACATCAAATGGAGTAATAATCTCGACAAAATATTTCCAGTCCCGCCATGTCATGGAGTCCCTTTTAGTCTGATGTTGTCTAAACAAATATACCCGGCCAGAACACTGTAGTATAACAGTATCATTTCTAAATTGTTGTGACATTTATTTAAATACGAACAGGAGGATATTTTTTATTTGAAATATTTAAAATGTTATTTTTCAAGTGTTATTTTTTATTTCAGATAACAACAATATATTGATGCAAGGCATATTAATGATAGTGATTGTAGGTTTTGCTTCTGGTCAAGTTCTAACGCTGCTAGTGTTCGGACTGTGTGTTTTAGTCGTGTGTAAAAGAATCAACAAATTATCTTCTAAAACAAGTAAATCGATTACAAAATCTATGTAGATCCACCCCGTCATGCGATCCTGTACAATTTGATTTGTACACGTACTGTCCGATCACTGTACCTTACTTAAGAGCCTATATTTTTTTAGCTTGAACCTTTCTTGTGATAACAGGAATTAGACTTGTTAATATACTGTGGCACTTATAGTTACATGCTTATAAACAATGTGGTAATGAGATTTTAGCAGAAAACATCATCTTTGTTAATAAATAAGTACAAAATAACTTGAAGCACAAAGACATTTTCAAGCTCAAAAGTGGTTAATTTGAACAAGCTTCTCAAACTGTCGCAAAAATAAACATTATGTATAGAACTAAATAGAATATTTAGACTGTAAGGTCCTCCAGTGTGTTGCCTAATAAGACGAGAGTACTATATTAGAACTTTAATGTCCTGACATAATATATGTACATTTATTACGCGATTTTTAAGAGTTCAAAATAAATAAGATCTTAACCTTAAATGTGTAAAATACATCACCGTAACGTATCTAGTTAAATACAATACCGTACTGTATCTAGTAAAATACATCACCGTACTGTATCTAGTTAAATACATCACCGTACTGTATATAAAAGAAACACATTTTTTCATTATTCTCAGGTTCGGATACGGCTACAAACAAGCAGTATGGTGCCAATATGACTGAAGACACTGTGGGATATCAGTTAACAACGTAAGTTTTTTTTTCATTCCTGCTCATAACAAATATTGCAAACACGAATATATATTAAAATTAAAAAAGAATTTATAAGAACCGAAAGGATGGATTTTTAATTTGCATAGACATATTTTTCCGATTCGCAATCACTCATCTTGTCTGAACCGCAATGACGCGTCTTTCTGAACCGCAATGACGCATCTTGTCTGAAACGAAATAACGCATCTAGTCTGAACCGCAGTCCGCAACTTGTCTAAAACTAAATAACGCATCTTGCCTGAAACAAAATGACGCATCTAGTCTGAACCACAATGACGGATATTGTCTAAACCAACGACGGGTATTGTCTTAACAGCAATGAAGCATTTTGTCTGAACCGAAATGAAGGATTTGTCTGATTCGCACCGACAGACTTTGTCTGAATTGCGACGGATATTGTCTGATTCCAATAACAGATTTTGTCTGATTCCCAATAACGGATTTTGTCTGATTCCCAATAACGGATTTTGTCTGATTCCCAATAACGAATTTTGTCTGATTCCCAATAACAGACTTTGTCTGATTCCCAATAACGGATTTTGTCTGATTCCCAATAACAGACTTTGTCTGATTCCCAATAACGGATATTGTCTGATTACCAATAACAGATTTTGTCTGATTCCCAATAACGGATTTTGTCTGATTCCCAATAACGGATTTTGTCTGATTCCCAATAACGAATTTTGTCTGATTCCAATAACGGACTTTGTCTGATTCCCAATAACGGATTTTTTCTGATTCCCAATTACGATTTTTGTCTGATTCCCAATAATGGGCTTTGTCCGATTCCCAATAATGGACTTTGTCTGATTCCCAATTACGGATTTTGTCTGATTCCCATTAACGGATTTTGTCTGATTACCAATAACGGATTTTGTCTGATTCCCAATAATGAACTTTGTCTGATTCCCAATAACTGATTTTGTCTGATTCCCAATAACGGATTTAGTCTGATTCCCAACAACGGATTTTGTCTGATTCCCAATAACGTATTTTGTCTGATTCCCAATTACGGACAATGTCTGATTCCCAAAAACGGACTTTGTCTGATTCCCAATAACGAATTTTGTCTGATTTCCAATAATGGACTTTGTTTGATTCCCAATAACAGACTTTGTCTGCTTCTCAATAACGGACTTTGTCTGATTCCCAATAACGGATTTTTTCTGATTTCTAATAATGGACTTTGACTGTTTTCCAATAACGGATTTTGTCTAATTCCCAATAACGTATTTTGTCTGATTCCCAATTACGGACTATGTCTGATTCCCAAAAACGGACTTTGTCTGATTCCAAATAACGAATTTTGTCTGATTTCCAATCATGGACTTTGTCTGATTCCCAAAAACGGACTTTGTCTGACTCCCAATAACGAATTTTGTCTGATTCCCACTAATGGACTTTGTCCGATTCCCAATAACGGACTTGGTCTGATTCCCAATAACGAATTTTGTCTGAATTTCAATAATGGACTTTGTCTGATTCCCAAAAACGGATTGTGTCTGATTCCTAATAACGGATTTTGTCTGATTCGCAAACACGGAATCTGTCTTATTTGTAATGACTAATTTTTTGTCGGAACCACAATGGCGAAGCTGTTTGCACAGCAATGACATACTTTGTTCGAACCACATGGGGACATGTGTATTACTTTTAAGCATATAATATTATGTTCTTTTTATGTAACTTCAGGACAAGTCCAGCACTCGAGAATTACGATTCTTTAAATCCAAATGAAATCTATGGTAATTTTAAATTTTGTATTCAGTAAAGTTTAACTAAAGTTAAACTATAACGCTTCACAATCTTGTAGTCACGCATGTCTTTGTAACAAATATTCCTGTATTGTTATTTCTCTACAACTTGCTATTTTGTACAATCTTTTTTACACCATAACTTTAGAATTTTGTTATTTTATATAAATAAACAATGTAAAAGCTCATACCCAGCTTTTCCGACAAGTTTACAAATGCCAATTGTTTCTAACTTTATTGCAAGCCAACCTTTTCATTTTTTTCCAGACACAGCAACTTAAAGTCATTAAACATTTCTCTACGTCTATTGACATTTTAGAAGTGAACAAACAATTCTTAACCTCTACAAATATTGATCCAGTTACAAGAATGAGCCCATAAACAATGCCTGAACTTGATTCAACGGATGCCAAAATACACAAAAAACAGAAGATGCTTTGGGTCTTTTTTGGATTTGTCCAATTGAATACTTTATAGATAAGATGAAGCTCTAGTTATTTTATCAGTTGTGTACTTTGGAAAGCTAAAAAAGAATCAAAACTATGTTCATAAAACGATTGTTCATGTTAATCCCTCAAAAATGACATCTTTAGAATTTTAGGAAAATATGGCTTCACAAGGGTGCTTACAATTTTCATTAAAATGAGATAGTTCCTTTTAAAATTCAATAGAAATCATTGAAAATAAAATTGAAAATAAAATATACAAGTCGAAATTAATATGCGTTAAAATATTACAGAATCTGTACAAATTTCACAACGTGTTTCGTTTCATGACCTATATGAAAGGTTAAATACTGTATATACTGTATAACAGCTATTTCTGCTTTAGGTCGTTATTTTTCTCATAAATGCATGTGTGTTTGTTAAAAGTGTAACTAAGAAACTTCTATTTTTGTTCATCTAGGATCATTTTGTTATAAAATTGATACTGTACGTTATGATATGTGGCGTAAATTACATGTAGTACACAGTAGTTTCATTCCCTATGTACTACTTCGAATATGTAAGAATACCACGTTACAAAATCATATTTCGCACTTTTTCGGCTGTTTCCGTCAGTCTTCGGGTAAGGACGTTATTATAAATAATAACCGAGGACGTTCCGAATGTCTGGCGGGATATGAAAAGACAAAAAATATCTTGTTTTATCATTTTAAATCCTATTTTCATCTACTAGGGTTGACAATGCCATGAAAGAGACATTTTACAAGTAAATGGTAAAATTCGAATTCTTCTTTTCGTTTTTTTTTTGGCAAACGGATATAACTGAACATCATATATACTGAACAAAAAAGAAACCTCTCCTGTATTTGAGTGCAGATAAAATAAGGATTAAAGTAGATTTATATGTATTGAAAAAGTAATTCATTGCGAAAAAATTATCGTTGAGGGTTTATCCAAAAGTAGTAAAATGGTAGTTAAAATGCAGAAGGGGTCACAAATTATTATCGGGTATGGCCACCTTCAGCAAGAAGGTCTGCCTGGCATCGTAAGCGGATAATCAGCGTATTGATCTCGGCTCGACTCGTCAGAGAAAAGAACACTACTGTATTGCATTTTTTTCTAAGCTAGCGTTGGTGTGTACGTGTCCGATTAATACAATTTACGCGGTGACGACCAATATATGGCCGATGCCCATGAAGCCCACACTCGCGCAAATGATTGGGCAGATATACGGTTGGGCAGTTTGGGCAGATAAACGGTTGGGCAGTTTGGACAGATATACGGTTGGGCAGTTTGGACATACATGTATATACGGTTAAGCAGTTTGGACATACATGTATATACGGTTGGGCAGTTTGGGCAGATATACGGTTGGGCAGTTTGGGCAGATGAACGGTTAGGCAGATATACGGTTGGGCAGTTTTGGAAAATATACGGTTGGGCAGATATACGGTCTTATATGTATCAGTGGTGTTAGTAACAGTCGCTGTGGCATTAAAGACTCGATTACGCAGGTGGGTGTTCCGAGCATAGCGGTCTTGTGCACGCGTCGTGACGCGCGAACGTCCACTTCGTGGTCGACCTTCTGAACGCCTTGATGTTTGAAACGTTCCCTAAAGTGTCGAATAGCACAAGCAGAACATCTAATATTCAAGGCGACGGCATTCATCGTCATAGCAGCATTAAACGCGCTTAAATTTTGCGGAATTCTAGGCATATCAAAAAAAAGAAAACTAAGAAAAAAAATTGTTCAACGTCTTATTCTTATTGACATAAAAATCTATAAAATTTCACTGAAAGGTTTTATAAAATATACACTAATCTACTGGTCCGTGTCTGCACGTGAAAATCGCAATCAGCAGTTTCTCATGCAAAACGAGTTAAAATCGAGTTTAAATTTGTTTTCACGGACACATAATCGTTCGCCGAAATATATGTATTTCATTTGACATTTTGATTTTTTTTTTAATAACACTATATCTCCACTTTAACACAGTATATATTATTGTTCAGTTTACATTTTTTTCTTTTGCAATTATTTTTTCTTCATGTATATATTATCTTTTGTAAAATCATTATTTACTTCATGTTTATACCATATTCATAGTTTGTCATAATTCTAATATATATGTATATATCAATGTTTCTTTTTACCCCTCATTTTCTTTGTTTACACTGTAATATATTTGTAATTTGTATAATTAACATGTATCTCTTCATTCTTGGAGGAAATAAAGACATCTTTTCTTATCTTACCTTATCTTGTCTTAATAAATTATGAAAATGACATGTAAAACAAGAAATCTATTTTAAACAGTTATTTAGCGTAGATTCAGTACATGATTAAAGGAACTCCACTGAGGTCTATAAGCCTAAAAACGTGAAATTTTAATTGTTCACATAGATAAACATGAGCACTTAAAACATAAATATTGATAAAATATAACCAAAAATATAGAAGAAATACATTGAAAATTATAGGTTTGTGCTATTCTCAGTCCGATTTGAGTGAAAAGCGTTTAAACGCTTTTCAATTTTGGGTCATTTTTCACTATTATGATAATTATTCTGGAAAAACGGAGCAAGCTAATGATCTGAAATTTTGCTCATAAATCTACATCAAATGGAGTAATAATCTCAAAAAAATATTTGAAGTCCCGTCATGTCAATAAACCTCAGTGGAGTCATAGTTTAAGAATATATTTCAAAGCCAATTATAAAGTGAATAGTTAATTCATGGTAATCATGGAGAAAGGACAATCATGGGTTTTATAATGTTTTAATAATAAATTAAGGGCATATGAGGGGGTTATCATCTGAGGAATGTATGTGAAATAATGTATGAGACAGAAGTAAAATGGAAACAAACTGGTATTTTCTCGTCAATACAAAGTACCAAATCACTATATCAATCTGCCAATCGCCAACACGCAAAAAATAAATAAACAAATAATAATAATAATGTGGCCAGTTGGTAACTTATTGGTAACTGTACAATAAAATCTTTTAAAAAGAATTCATTACTGGGTTTGATGGGCGTTTGTCGAATTGTAAGTCAAAGCATTTACATTCTTTGCCATGCTTAACAATTGCTTTAACTTAACCACAAAGTATTTGCCTTATAAAAATATTTCAGATATTTTTTATATAACTGTTGTATAATTTAATTGCATTCGTAAACATAAATCTAGCTTGTTTGTTCTAAAAGATTACTGGGTTTTTTTATATTGGGTTTTACGTCACATCGTCACAGTATAGGTCATATCGCGACGTTCCAGCTTTACTGGTGGAGAAAGACCTCAGGTACCCTTCCGTGCATTATTTCAGACACGAACGGGCACCCGAGTAGAACCACCGACGTTCCATAAGCTAGCTGGAAAAAGATTACTGAAGTCGTGAAATAGATTATAATTAACATGCAACAGGTTTTACACGTTATGTTTCTAGTATCATATAATATGATTGTATTATATAATATACATATACATGCATAACAAAATATTGAAATTAAAATCAAAATCTTACCTTTTGTCTTGTTTATATTGCTGGTCAACTTCTGAGTCCATTCACTGTGATAACCCAACATGTATATATACATGTATGAAAACCCCACGAAAAACACGCGCATTTTCAAATAACACCTGGCTGAATGCGCTTAAAAGCGTAGCGGTTAATGCACAGACACTTGGAGTATAGCCTCCGCCCCTGAACATTAAAAACTCAAATTATTATTTATTACATGAATTAGTTTTAAATTTTTGCTAATATTAGTATGAGACGGTTAAGTGTCTTACACGTGAACAAGTTTGAACAGAATTTCATAACGTTTTAAAAAAGTCAATTTTTTACCAGCGCTTCAATTTCCTAGATACCAAGTGACAACTGACCTACAAGAATTTCAAGCATTTATGTTATCGCATGCCATTTCTTTCTGGTGTAAATCAGTCGAGGTATATATTCTTCTAATAAATAAATATATGTTACTATCCGATCGTAACTTTCTTCCAAGCTTTGCACATTTACTTAAAGTTTCTTAACCGTGTCACATGTTTTATCGGTGGTTTTGTATTTAGTATACTGTATATAGTGAATTTTTTTCAGGGTTGTAGCAGGGGTCAAGGGGCAGGGTGTGTTGGGGTGTCCAAACACTGATACTGCCACCTGTGAATATATCGAATAACAAACGCCTAAATTAAGAAAAATAAAAAAATAGCTCAATCACAACGCTCACATAGATCAAATCCGTAAATACAATGCAGACCTAACTATCACATGTCGCCGGGAAACAATATTAAAAATGAGGGAATTGGTTTGAAATATCCTCATTACCTACTGTTAATTGATGGATACGTCAAAAGAAAATTGCATGAATTTCACGTAATTAAAATTGGGAATAATGAACGGTGGGACACTTGAGGTCTTCCTCCACCAGTGAAGCTAGAAACTCGCCATATAACCTTAACAGTGGTGTTGCAACGTAAAACTTAACCCCCAGAAAATATTATACATTGTAACATTAGCTTTTTCTGTGAAAGAAACACCTGCCTATTAAAACCGATGTCTATATAAAATAAAAAAAAACTTCTTTCAACCTGGTAATGCCGACAATTATAATGGTAAAAGTACAATGTTTAATATATAGTGTTAAAAGATATACATGTATCTGTGGAGCTTTTGTTTGTATCCCTACATTGTGAAGTAACGAGACTTCATAGCAAAGGTAAAACATGTTTAGTTACGTGACGTGATAGCAGAGGTAAACATGTTTTGTTACGTGACTTCATAGCAGAGGTAAACATGTTAAGTCACGTGACTTGATAGCAGAGGTAAACATGTTTAGTCATGTGACTTGATAGCAGAGGTAAACATGTTTAGTCACTGACTTCATAGCAGAGTAAACATGTTTAGTTACGTGACTTGATAGCTGAGGTAAACATGTTTAGTCACGTGACTTGATAGCAGAGGTAAACATGTTTAGTCAGTGACTTGATAGCAGAGGTAAACATGTTTTGTTACGTGACTTCATAGCAGAGGTAAAACATGTTTAGTTACGTGACTTGATAGCAGAGGTAAAAATGTTTAGTTACGTGACTTGATAGCTGAGGTAA